AGTAACTGATAGAGAGGAACCTAGAAACAAATACACTGGGAGTAGTCAGTGCTAAATATGTGCCATATTTCCTTTTCAACTGGTACCCCTGACTTTCCTAGAATATCATAAATGATATCAGGATTGTTTACAGAAAGCATGTCTGGTAAACATGATATTAAGCAATGATGTCAGGATTGTTTACAGAAAGCATGTCTGGTAAACATGTTATTAAGCAATGATGTCAGGATCGTTTACAGAAAGCATGTCTGTAAACATGATATTAAGCAATGATGTCAGGATCGTTTACAGAAAGCATGTCTGGTAAACATGATATTAAGCAATGATGTCAGGATTGTTACAGAAAGCATGTCTGGTAAACATGTTATTAAGCAATGATGTCAGGATCGTTTACAGAAAGCATGTCTGGTAAACATGTTATTAAGCAATGATGTCAGGATCGTTTACAGAAAGCATGTCTGGTAAACATGATATTAAGCAATGATGTCAGATTTGTTACAGAAAGCATGTCTGGTAAACATGATATTAAGCAATGATGTCAGGATCATTAGAGAAAGCATGTCTGGTAAACATGATATTAAGCAATGATGTCAGGATTGTTTACAGAAAGTATGTCTGGTAAACATGAAATTAAGCAATGATGCTCCAGATTCAGGTAATCAGTACTGACAACAAGGCCAGTGTTATGGAACCACACCCTTGTCAGAAACTGTTGCACCTATTTCTTCTACAAGGAATAGTTAGGTGTATCATTTTTGCTGTGTTTGAAGCTGAAATTTACATGTTTGATGTTTTACTTTTCCTTACAAATGTCAGCCTACTTGATTGTTCCAGTCTTCCTAACTTTGCTTTATTCCAGACACCATTGGGCTCGTAGATTTTGATTAACCTCTGTATATGATTACAAGCCTGTTATTTTTGAAATGGTGCAAATCTTGAATGTTGAATATATGTAAGTACGATTCTTCCATTTCTGTTAAAGCTGTAGTCTTGATAGTCTATCTTTGGGTGATTATCTGACATATTGAACAAGCATCATACATGCACAAGCTCTGTCTGGGGACAAATTATCCTGTTGGTATACAATATATAAAGACCTTGTCAAGACCAGTTACTGTCTGTTGGAAAAATATGTGTAAAAAAATTCTGTTCAGGAAAACTGTGTGTGTTAGAATCAATAGCTACGAGGTGAGCATGTTTGGAACCCCCATACATGGACATATGACCAGATGACCAGCACTGTACAAGTGTGGTGGTGAGACACAAATTATTTTCCCAGGCCCAGATAATTACCAACCTGCTGGGTTAACAAGCTTTGCTAGTAAAGTGTTGTGTGTTAAGGGCACACACAGACTGTAGAATAGAAGGGCTTCTATTATCTCTGGTCCACTGCTTCATGTCAGCTGGCATTTCTATCTGTACCATTGTAGTCTGTGGTCATTTGTGGAGACTTGGCTCTGACCTGACAGACTAACTGGTTCATATTAGTCTAATGAAGATAGGTTATTGTTAGACTAATTTTGACATGTCTTTTGGTATCATATTTTATGACAATGTCTTCAATATGGAGTTAATTTTCACTTGTGTGATCATATCTATTAAAAGTGATTTTTACCTATTTTATCTGGAACCGTTTGAGTTAGTTTCTCCCTTCTCACTGTATTGTTTCTGGTAAAGCCAACATTTTTTGTTTTGTAATTATGCCAAGAGGCCCCTACAAAAAATAGACTGAAAATGTATTTCTTATCATCACATTTTACAATCAATTCAACTTTGTCAAAATCAAACATTGCCATTGTTTGCATGACCAATGGAGAGTTTCAAGGTCACACACTTCAGTGATTTCCCTTTCTGTCACCTCCCTGCACTAATTTATCATTATCTGTGTTGATGATCAGAAAAGAAAGATTTGTATGCCCCACCAGATTATGGGGAGCTGGAAGGGGATATACTTACATCTAACCCAGTGTCCCCATGAGGCCTCTTGACTTTTAAACCTGTCGGTATGAAGTGTACTACCCCAAACAATGTATTCATATAGGAGTAGGAGAGTGCTGGAAAACTGGGGGTACAGGTCTTGAATTTCACCAATTTGGGGGATGGGGATGGGGATGGGGGTGTGTTGGTGGGGGTGGGGGGTGGGGGGGGGGGTCTTGGGGTGGGTATCATCAATAGGAAATACTGCTAATTTGTTGCATTTCATGCCAAAGTTTTACTCTGGTGACTTGGTTTCTTTGGAGATTCTATTCGGTTTGTTCAAGGTCAAATGTGAGAATACCTCAAAGAATTTTGTGTGGAAATGTTTCAAGGTCAAACTTAATTAATCATTAAGAGCTATTTATTCCTTGAGGACTGCATAATCATTCCATACAAGCATTTTCATGTTGATAATACATCAAATGAAATTGTGAATGATTTACAAAGCACCTGTATAGTGTCTATATGTACTCCCCAATACTGCTTGTTCAAGCTGTCATAATGATTTACAAAGAAGACTTGAGGTTTAAAAAGGAGACCAAAAAAATGTATTCAGACATAGCAGATAGAATGGTACCGTAAAGAGAGAGAAAAAATATCCTGACTAACTTCCATATATACACCTGCCAACAAGGCATGGATCATTTACCGGGTCAAATTGACTATTGAGTCAAATGTTACAAGGAAATTGAAAAAGCCACAAATAGTCTCCACAACAATGGATTATAAAAAAAAACCCACTGCATTCGGTAAAAATGGCATGTGCCAGATTGACTTAAAAAGTCAGTGAATAGGTGTACAACAACTGACACATCCCATACATCAGCTTTATACCTCCTTATACCTCGTTTATCTTCTAATGCCAGCAGGACCTGACTAGCATGCATGTGACTTGGGTATTTAAGACACGTTGAACTTCTTGTTGTTGAACTCCTTGTTGGGCCCTCAAGGAAGTATGACATATTTGAATTTTACCCACATGTTTATAATACTACATCTCCTACAGTAGATCTATATCAATTTGTGTCAACGAGTACAAAAACTGGGTCAGATTTAGGTTAGGTTGACATCATAAATTGGTCACAGGCTCTGCTATACAGCTTTCAGGAAAAGAAAATAAATGCCAAGATACAATGTTGATTTAAGGAGAGAAACAATCTGGATATGTCATCAGATGACAGGTGGCGCTGTTCTCAACACTGAAACCTTCATTTCTCTAATTATTAAAAATAAAGACAGATACATACTTCAGATCATTGTCAAATTTAAACTCTATTTTTCCTGTATTTTTGTGAAGTCATTGTACAGCACATTTGATCACATAACTTTTTACTACAGCTACAGTAAATATTATGTAAATAAGACCGTAATTGATATCACAAGTTGCATTAGATACAAATTTCAATTGAATATGATCACATGATCACATTTAATATGTCCAATGATTCCAACAAACAGTGATGTGAGCTTAAATAGCGTTTGTATGGTTACCTCATCAGCTGTGAAAATAAGATTATCAAGGTGTTAAATTGATGAGACTTGATACACATGATTGAAAAAAACTTGATACTGCCCTTAGTGAAGTAGAGAAGGGCATTTATTGACGAGATGTAGCAGCTTCAGGTGGCTTATGTTTATTTGTCTGATCATTTGGAAAATCATGTTCCGGCTGTTACTTCCAGTCCTGCATAAACTTTGTGTGTACATGTAACAGAGCTACAGGCCCTTCTGACGTACTAGCTGTAGGCATGGGTGGTCTCATATTGTGGTTATAAAGATGTAGGTACTTTAAGTCTACAGGACTGGAGAAAAAACACAGTTCTTAGGTCACTGTGACCCAAACGTTTCCACTTAATTTGTTTTTGCTTGTCAGAGAAAATCATATATTTATCCTGTAATTCTTTAAAGTACATCTGGGTTAGAATTATTGATAAGAAGTCACAGTTTGTATGTAAGGTATACATAAACCACGATTATCACTAGACAACTGTACAAACAAGAATATAGGACTGCAATAAAATTTTGTAAACCTTTTACTGTTTTAACACACAATATAAACTTGTTAATGTTTGAAAATAATTAGTCAGTTTTTTTTTTACTTCAATCCACAAATTCAATATTTTCTAATATTCATGGATCATTCATGGCTTCATGAATTTCATTTCACAGGGATAGCTTCCATTATTTTATACTGTTTCCAAAATTACATGGTAGACGTAGAAATTAAAGAGCAGGTTCTGATAGTGTCACACACAAAGTACTAATGCTTGTATGCTGCAGTATCTTGTCACTTCATTCACATTACATTCTTTATAATGATTGAAATCTAGACAGAAACATAAGCCAATGGTAAAATGATTTTCATATTGAGCAGAGTTAACTTACGTAAACATTTTTTCTTGTTTAATATTTAGCTTCCTTTATGACTTTGAAATTAATTGAAGTTAAACTATGCTTATTCTTTAATTCTTAATGTGTATGATCTATTCATCAAAGCTGTGATATCTCGGGCAGTTAGAGCATCGGCCTTGAACCTGAAGCATAGATCTGAGGTGTGTGTTCTATACACCCTACTTGTTGCAATTTATGTTTCTCAGGAAGATAATGGACAGGTCTGTGCTGATATGGTTACATCTTGTCCTTGGGTGAGACACTTCACCATAATTGCTCTAGATGGCTTGCAGTGGGCCTCCTGTATGTTGTTCAGTGAGATAGCTACCAGCTACAACAAGAAGACCCTCCGACCCTAAAATATGACCCTATCTGTTCACAGAGCAATAAGCCCAGCAATCAAACATCAATTCATGAGTGACTGATGATGAAAACACTATATCTACTCCATGTATTTAAAACTACTTCACTGATCTATCAGCCGTCAAAACGTACTCCATGAAAATCGAAATGCAATGTACATATAAATGTACATCTTCTTTGTGATTTTTGAAAATTTATGAAACTATGGCAAATGCATTCATTGTTTAAACGTGATTAATATCCATGTTTCTTTCTTTATGTGTTTGCAGTTTATATGGACGGAGTGGAGTGTGGCGATACAAAACATATAGGGGGCGCTACTGTGTATTCACATAATGTGGAAAAGGACATGTATTATGGTGAAGCCATTTCGTGCAGTATAACATTTCGACCTGAGAACAATGGTTGGAAACTTATGTTACGCATTATAGAATTGGATATACCTGACCGACTGCCAAGTGGAGTGTGTAATGATGCTTTATATATTTATGATACAGATTCTATATATGCTGCAGCCATGGTAAGTATGATATATGGCAATTAACTGTTCACATTTTATATCATTTTAGGTATATGTTGATAATTGGAATTCTAGCCAATCTACCCAATTGTCACCCTCTAAAATATATAGAGAGTAAAACTCATTTATGATGAACACGCTTAAATCACATATATCAAATGAGGCGAATGGAGGCGAATGTTTTGTTCATTCCCACTTTTTCTCGTCTTTATCTTAGTAAATTAAACTATCCCATCTATATTCTACCAAAATTCCTTTTTTGTGTCGAACATTCAGACCTCACCTTGTCTCAGGTAAAAATTTACTGACTTCAGCCCGAAGGACTGAGTGTGAATCGGTCAGCTGTATCTACCTCTATTGTAATTTTTTATTGAACACTTACACAGATGCCCATGCTATGAGACATGTATCTGGTAAACAACGGATGAAAATAGGGTCAATCCTGGATGCACAATGTCTCTTTATAGAAACATGGCTAAGTCAAACCATCAGATAAGTCAAATAATTCATTTGGTGCCTTTGACTTAACCATGTTTTACTGTATGTATATTTTCACTGAAAAGTATTGCTGGTGATGCTATATCTTATAGGGGATTGGGGGGTTGGAGGTGAGGATAGGTTTTGTTTGTCTAGTACAGCAGAGATGATTGAGCGACCATTCTGACAACCACTGTCATGGTTAGAATGTTTACCCTGAGCAAGACACTTTACTCCAATTGCTTTGAATGACATCTTATCTTGGCCTCCCTTATGTTGTTCTTTGAGATAGACACCACCTTACTACAAGTAGACCCTGCCCCTAACGACCTTGTCTGTTAATGGGGTGATAAACCCTGCAATCATATAACATTTCCTGGTTATGTTTTGTACTGACTGCGTTTAGAATATTTGTCATCTGTATTAACATTTACCATCAACATATTTGCTAGATCTCATTAGAAATATTTTCACTCCAAAAAAAAAAAAAACAATCACCATTAGAATGATTGGCAAAATTCCTTACAAATATTTGCAATCTATAAAATGTTTGCTAGAAATCCATAGAAATATTTACACCCTGAAAAATGCAACATTGCATGAGCCGTTAAATTTTCTGTGCTACAGCAATTACATTGAATTAATTAAAATGTTAATTAGAATTCCCTTAAACTGGGTTTTCTCTAACAAAATAAGGCATAAAAAGTCATGAAAGTTTACATTATACATTAAAATATTATGTTTATAAAGTGTTCTTGTCTCTTCCCAATCAGTTAGGAATGTTTGATGACGTTTTATATAGTAAACATAATCTTTGTCAGTGTTGTGAAAATATCTGTAGAATATTCAGTTTAGAGAGAGTTTTCAATAAGATCTGCGTATTTCACTTTTGTATCACTTTCAGATTCTAATTCGGTGCATAGACCTGACCTGAAAATACATGTATAAAAAGTAGTTGTAGAATGTTTACAAATATAACGTACATATACATACTACACTAGTTGGTATACAGAGGTAGAATCTGCACTTGATTTCATGTCATAATGAGGTTTCAAGTTTAGTTATTTGTGCTTGCCAAGGTCTCAAACATAACCCTCAACTAAGGAACAAAAACACTTGACTCGAGAGAGTTTGCACCTCAGGAAATCATGAAAAAATTACATAATGTACCTCATAAATAGCTTCCATGTGGCAAACTGGCAAAACATTGTCATAAGTATGTAAACAATTCAGCCGTGAAAATTAATTAGACCTTCCCTCACCTTCTGTACAACTACATGCCCTTTTCATAGGATCACTTTTGCAACCAAAATGGCCAATCGCTAACTTTGACAGTTAGCAACCACTGTGTGTCTCTTACAGTGCCCCACCATTTATCATTAACAGTGCCTGCTCTGTCAGGTTTTAAGTCATGACAATTTCAACAACTCCGAAATGGCCCCAAGTGTTTTTGTGGAGTCAATTCCCCCACTGCCATCTGCCAGTGTAGAGAAGCGATTGCATTGATTTAGGAGCCAATGTGACTGATTATTTACAATACAGGAAATATGACAGTGAGCAGGCAACTGTGTATGTCTTCATTGCTGGCTGTTGTTTCTTAGGTCAAAACATAAAGAAAGTTTATTGCGACACTGAACATACATCATTCGGTCTCTTGGTGTAGCAGCTATTTCCCAATAGGAAGTCTACCATTTTCTAATTGAAAATTGATACTTAATCTCTCACTGCAACATGTTTCGCTACAACCTTTTTAAGACATTCTTTTAAAGATAAATTTCTTGGAAATATTCAATAAAATTTTATTTATTATGCTGTTGTTTCCTAATCTAGATGATTATAGACATTCCAATATTTCATGATATTATTTTTGCATTTTAATACACTGACAAAAAAGGATTGCATTTGAAAAATATGAACCTTCTGTATCTTTTTGTAATGTAGGAATACAATGGATTTAAGCCAGAAATGTTAAGATTGAACTTTCTCTAAATTCAACATAGGAAACTAAAAGACAGATAATCTGGTTTTGATCTTTGCTATTTAATATCTGATCATGATGAGTCTGTTTTACACAGTATGCCCATATTTGGTGCAGTAGAATTGATTAAGTTTTGGGATTGTCTTCCTTGTGCTACAATGAGAGATATTACCACAATTATCAAGGAATGAATAATGAGGTGACCTTTTGTAATGTTCCCCACAATCAAGATACTGACAAAGTTTTGAATACGAAAAAAGTGTTTTTGATTCATGCACTTGTTCAAATACATTCTTTGTTTAAAGTTCAAAACAGAAACTGTGACAAACTTCTTTGATAAAATTTTAATAAGTCAGTGTCATATAACATATGATTAGTAATAATGAATATTAAGTACATTAATTTGTTATTTTTGGAAAATTCTAATATGTACACCACCTGGATCAGTTCCGTTCAACCCAATATCTGAATATGTATGCATGCGATATTCACAAAGTCATACTATACAATATCAGCAGATATATACATTAATGGACAGTAGGTAATTAATTAACATCTGTGAAGTATCAATAGTTAGACTTAACAAGGGAAGATTTTTAACATGGTTTATAGAAAAAAAATCCTGGAAATGTCTTTAGGATCTAATAATTTCTAGAAGATCAATGTGAATCCTGAATATGTATTGTACTGTAGATGATATATCTGAAATAATAGACACTGGTCATTTACTAGGGGATAAAGTCTGCGTCAGTGTTATCACTTACAGGGGATAATGTTTGTTATCATGTTGCTAGACAACACGTTTGTTGGATACAGTATCATTCATTATCTTATCTTGTGCATTGTCAATGCGATCATCAGATTTTTCATGCAGTGAGCATCAGCTGGATGGAAATGATGCTAATATCATGGCTGGAGACAACGATAGCAGAGACACAATTGTAGATATTGTCCACATACTTTGTAATGCAGCATTATAGGAACCCCAGGAGGTCATGTGGATGTTGGAATCCTGTGTTGTATAGCGCACTGCAAAGGACTTGTCCTTCCTTCTGTCTCTGTTGATGGACTGGGGAGATGTTCATTGCCATGTGGTGGTGTGATGTTTCAATAGTAATTAGCTGTGCTAATCAGATCTATACCTTGTAATATATAAAATTTACATATCTACAACATCTGCCTCGGGAGTGTCACACAAACATGTAAAATCACTCTGAATTCATCTATATCATCCCTGATGTGAACATAACTAATGTCCCCCTGTCAGTATTTTTACAGGAATCAGAACGGAAGAGCTCGCACATTTCATTCAGAGTGATACGTTTTGTTTATAAAATACTTATAGAGTAGTAGATTGTATTTAAACATCTTGTTCCTCAAAGTAGTTTAAAATTTTCATATCCACATGAATATATAAATACCTTTAGATGACACAATAAGATGATATTTTAATAGAATCATACCTGAATTGATATAATATACCCCAATATTATCAGTATAGAATCAGATATACTATAATAATACAGACAGAATCAGATATACTATAATACAGACAGAATCAGATATACTATAATACAGACAGAATCAGATATACTATAATAATACAGACAGAATCAGATATACTATAATAATACAGACAGAATCAGATATACTATAATAATACAGACAGAATCAGATATACTATAATAATACAGACAGAATCAGATATACTATAATAATACAGACAGAATCAGATATACTATAATACAGACAGAATCAGATATACTATAATAATACAGACAGAATCAGATATACTATAATACAGACAGAATCAGATATACTATAATAATACAGACAGAATCAGATATACTATAATACAGACAGAATCAGATATACTATAATACAGACAGAATCAGATATACTATAATAATACAGACAGAATCAGATATACTATAATACAGACAGAATCAGATATACTATAATAATACAGACAGAATCAGATATACTATAATACAGACAGAATCAGATATACTATAATAATACAGACAGAATCAGATATACTATAATACAGACAGAATCAGATATACTATAATAATACAGACAGAATCAGATATACTATAATAATACAGACAGAATCAGATATACTATAATAATACATACAGAATCAGATATACTATAATAATACAGACAGAATCAGATATACTATAATAATACAGACAGAATCAGATATACTATAATAATACAGACAGAATCAGATATACTATAATACAGACAGAATCAGATATACTATAATAATACAGACAGAATCAGATATACTATAATAATACAGACAGAATCAGATATACTATAATAATACAGACAGAATCAGATATACTATAATAATACAGACAGAATCAGATATACTATAATACAGACAGAATCAGATATACTATAATAATACAGACAGAATCAGATATACTATAATAATACAGACAGAATCAGATATACTATAATAATACAGACAGAATCAGATATACTATAATAATACAGACAGAATCAGATATACTATAATAATACAGACAGAATC